GCAGTTTGGAAAAATTGGTTTTTCAATGCATCAAAACACAGTAAACACAACCCATTTGTTCCTGTGGAAATAAAGCAGGAACTGTGTGGCAGTGCTCGTCATCTGGGCCTTGGGAGAGCAGTTCTGGCGCCAGAAGGGGCCCGTCCCCACCTGCGGAGCGTTCCGGGCGGCAGGACAGCTGCTCCTTTACGCGCACGTTCAGCCCAACCACTTAATGCAGAGAACGTCCAAGAGCTGTGGCGTGAGGAGGGGTTTCACTCTACCAGCCTGTGCTGTGGCTGAACAAGCAAACAGAGAAATCAATTCTATTTCATGCAATATTAATCCCTGGAGACAATTAGAGCCTAATGGAAAGTCTGAGAAAGACTTTGGGTTTTACCAGGTGTCTAATTTTGTTGATTACTAGAGATAAACCCAACAAGCATAACATAATTTAATCAAATCAAGTGATTGTCTGTGTTTGCTTAAACAGGAATTGAGTTACAGCTGTCGCCCGGGGGGAGGGAAGACCGGAAGCTTTGCTAGCATCCAGGGCTGCCGGTGAACAAGCCCGCAGTGCCTCTAGACCGTACACTGCCACGGGCCCGCCGGTTAGGGAAATCCCGGCTTCATGGGACCACCTCCCCCATCCTGGGCCAGTCCTCGTCCGCGGTAGCACGCGAAGGGCAGGACCACAGGCCGCGTGCTCCGAGGGGCCGTGGCCAGGCGCCGTAACCTGCCAACCCGCTGCCTCTCCCTGCGATGCTGCGGCAGGGATGCTGCCTTCCACAGGGCCTGCCTGGAGCTGCCCGAGAGCAGCGCTGTTAGCGTCGCTCCCAGCTCGCTTGACAGGCTGCCGGCAGGCCTAACCGTTCACTGGGTCTGCAGATCTGTGCGAATACGCTCTGGTTTACACCCTTCCAGGTGGCTCAGCTGGACAAGCTCGTTCTGACCCCTCTCTCCACACTGCAAGCCCTGTTTTCGGGCCCCCAGAAGCTCATCCAGAAGCGCTACGACAAGTTGTTGGACTACAACTGCTACCTTCAGAGGGCAGCGGGAGAGGAGCCAGACCTGGCAAAGAGGGACTATGAGGCTCTCAATGCACAGCTCGTGGAAGAACTTGAGGTGTTCAACAGAGCAGCCAAAAGGATTGTGCTGAACTGCCTGCACAGCTTCATCGCCCTCCTCCGGCAGGAGATGTCTGCAGCCCTTCAGGCACACGCTGCGGTGGGGGTGCCTGTCCCAGTAAGTACCGCAGAGTTATCTGCCTCTTTCCTTCCCGTAGGATCTGGCTGTGGAGGGGACACACCTACAGGCTACACTGGTTTTGCTGGTTCTGCTAAGGGCAGTTGGGTCGGGTTGGTTTCTTCCCTGCAAGCTCAGCAAAGGTTAAGTTCTGAGCTTAAGTTTTGTCAGGCCCGGACTTCCCCTTAGGGGTGAGTCTAATGCAGCTGCTCCGGTGACAGCAATGGCAAGAACGTTGCCGTAAAGCAAAGAGGAGGAGGATGCTAGTATTTTAGTCTTTGTTCGTTAGCATCTACCCTGAGTGGCCCAGTGAACACAGAAATTTTATGACAGCACATGAACGCTCCTGCTGCTGCTAGACCTGCAGTCACGGAGACAGCAGGAGAGAAGCAGGCTAGGGGATCCGAGGAAATAATTTTGACGAAAAGCGAGTTGCTTTTAACCCCAAATATGCTGCAGAAGCCCTGCAGACATCGCCAGGAGGTGAGGAATAGCTCTGTCTGTGGTGGCACGCGTCGGAAGCTCAAATCATTTCACTTACGCAGCCGAAGTACCGAAGGTGCCGGCCTGAGCGCAGCAAAGGTGCCCGTTCCTCCAGCCCGCTCTGCCCTTTCTGGGCACCACGATCACTACGCTCCAACGCTGCCTTCTACGGCCAAATCCGCCCACCTCAGCCGCAGCAAGACTCGATAGGGAAGACGTCGTGAGGCAGTTCTAGAGTGTTCCCTTCCGTCCGTGCTGGAGCGCAGCACTTCATAGTCAGAGGCAGCTGAAGGATTAAGAAAGCAAGGTCAGGATGAAAACAGAGCTGCACTGTTTAATGGGAAAATGAAGGCTTTCCCCGCGTCAAGAAATTGCATCCCTGTAATCTGACCGCTTCACGTTTTGAAAGCTGCTGTACTCCGCGGTGTTTTCTGCCAGGCACTGCCAACAAAATTACCTCCCTCGTGTTTGCATCAGCAAACACGCTGGGGGTCAGGCACAGGCCGACAGCGCTGCCCAGCGCCGCAGCCGCAGCTCGCCCCGGCATTTGGAAGCCGGAGGCAGCACCCAGCTGCACACAGACACACACCGCCCACTCCGAGCTGCCCGCTGGCGTCGGGAAGCAGGTGGCTGAGCAGCGGGAGTGCAAGGCTGTTCACTTTTATCACTGCTGAGAATATTTTTTAATGATTTAATTTAAAGCAGTATGTCTTTGAAAGCGAAGCGCAATCATTAGAAAGCTTCTTCAGGCGAGGGCCTTCCTCTCCTGCCGCGGCCTGCCTGGCACACGCTGGTTTCGGCAGAGCCCGTAGGGATGTGCCAGATTTCCTGACTTGCAGCGTTCAGCCCTTTAACCCAAATCTGCCGATCCCCTCACGGGTTTGTTCACGAGCCCTGACCTACCTCTGTGCCTGCAGCTGTCGTCCTCAAGCATCTGCGAAGTGCAGAACCAGCTGATGGAGGAGGTTCACAAGCTGAATTTTGTAAAAGAAAACAGCAGCGCGACCTTTATCGAGAGAAAATTGAGCTTGGAAAGAAAGAAACCCGCCCCCTGTCCGGTGAGTACCACACGCCTGAATTGCGTGGGAAGCGTCCCCTGCTCATCCTTTTTTGAAACAGGTTCGGTTTTATGTCACCTGGAGGGTTGGGCTCGGGCTCTTCACTGCGACTCTACATCAGGTTGGTGGAAAGTAGTGACAGGACAAGGGGGAACGGGGTTCAAGGGAAAAGGGGAGA